CCAGGCGCTAATGCCCAGTGCCCACCCAGGCTAATGCGCGCGCACACGTTTGAACTTTCTACGGAAGTGTTCCATTTCTACGGAAGCATTGAAGTTCTACGGAAGAGCTACATTTCTACGGAACAGCGACGGCTTATACCACGGAAGAGCTAGATTTCTACGGAACAAGCTCGCGACTGTTTCCACAGAACAGCTATTTTTCTAAGGAACGATCGCAGATTTACAAGGAACGATTGCAGAATTCTAAGGAAAGATGTTCAATTCTAAAAATAACAGTTGTATTTTTACAGAACGACACTACATTTTCAAGTAGAAGCGTTGTCCCTTGTGGGCCACCGTACTACCTCTAGAAAGAATTAGCGTTACTATATAGTAAATGAAAAAAGTCAATTTATGCATTCCGCACATTGCATGTCACTTCGAACTGACACATTTTTTGTGCGAAGTTTTGTAAAGGTTGAAATTAAGAGCAAGTTATACAGAAAGTAACACATGAGTAGAGAGAAGCCTTACTTAAGAGAAAGGAAACACATAGTTGAAATGTCTCGCTTTAGCATGTCACTTTTTATATTGAGTTTAACAGGTTCTAATTGAAAGATGGCCTAGCTATAAGCTGGCTCCAAAGTCGTTGTTTTGGTTTTGTGTTTTTGAAAATAATACGATGAACCTGAAACATCAGTTAACGAAGCAAAATGGACCGGTTTGGGAGCTAGGAACTATGCTACTATTAAAAAAGTATTGATTTCAAAATTTGCCTTCAAACCCGAAAAGTTACCGGACCTATCCGAAAACAGACCCCAGAATGGTTGTTTCGGCATCCCGCCTTTTCCGTACTTTCAATCCCGAATAGTGGCCCCCCATTTTTCATTTAGATGCCGAATCCCGCCCTTCAAATGAGGGAAATTCCCGCATCCTGCAAACATATCGGGACCCTCTATACACCTTTTATTACACCACCAACTCCCCCTCCCCCCTCCCACAACCACCCCCAATCGAGCGGAGCACACCATAACAACTCCTCATAGGTTGTACCCCAAAGAGGGGCAACTTTCTCATTCTCAAGAGTGAAAGAATCTCGCAAATTTACTACACCAATCAAATCAATTCGGTCAAGAAACGGAATGCCCACCTGAAAAACACTGCAGTCGCTTTAACGTATTAAGGATAATTTTTCAAGCAAAATGCGGTTTCCCCGATTTTGGCAAACGTAAAACCATAAACTGCTTCCTGCATGAAGACTAAGACGACGAGAGCTGATTACCTCACCAGAGAGACTGGGGGTAGAGTTGATTTAGAAAACCTCTGGAATTTCTAGGTACGCCTCTGGACAAGCGAAAATTTAAGAAAAAATCCATTTGGAAGTAGAGTAATTTTAGTTTTCAGTGGACAAAAACCGTATACATAATTTCAATCCTATTGCATTCTTTTTAGCACTTTTTTAGGGCTACAAATGTAATAAGTTATATGAAATAACTACAAAGAAAAGGTTCTTATGGGAGCCCGAGAAAACAAAAATTCAAAAGCTTCAAATTTCACAAAATGAAATCTTACTTAAAACGATTTTACCTATCATTTTCTCAATTCCTGAGAAATTTGAAAGTTATCTTCTCGGGCTTCCATAGGAACCTTTTACTGATTTGGAGTTATCTCGTATGACTTATTACAAATGAACATTTGTAGCACTTGAAAAGTGTAAAAAAAAGTGCGATATGGCTTAAAAGGTTTTAGCCTGCGTGGCAGGAAGGCGAAAGGGGAATTTTGGGCGAGGAGCGTTGCGTGACGACACTAAAAACGGCTGTGTAACAGACTACTTCCACGCCGGCTAAAAAGGTTTTTGTTCACCGAAAATTAAAATTACTCAATCTCATGATGGATTTTTCCCAGTCCACTCTGATCGGCACGCTAAAAGATACAAGATCGAGACAATGAGGGGATTCGACCAGTTGGTTCCTTAGCAGGAAGCGGAAAAAGTATACATTATTACCCCATAAAACGAAACAAGTTTTGGGAGTTGCCGACTTTGAGGGTTGAGATTTAGTTGAAAATGTTATTTCTCTTGCCTTCGTTAGACTTTCCACTTTATTTCTCTCCTTTTCACTCTTCATTTGCCTGAACGGGGCTTCCGTTCACACATTACCCCGGGTACCAGAGGTTGTTTCTCGTGTGTGACTGGAAGCTTCGTTTTGTCGGCCGAAGGCCGAAGTCACGAGCGGCGAAGCTTTTCGCGCGGGTCACTTTTTAAGACTGACTGAAACCGGAAACCACGCATGAAAAGCCTCTGGCACCCAGGGTATTCACACATAAGAATGGTGACAATTTTCGGCGTGATACGGATGGGTGTTTACACTACACCGGATATCTTTGGCGCCGGTACGGAAACCATACCGGATATGGCTTCTGCCGATGAACACATAACAACGGTGATTTCGGTGTTAATTCTGTAAGGACGTTGTTTTATTTTTCTTTTCGTTCTTTTGGAAAACACTGGCGTGCGCGAGAAAGAAAAATATTCCATCCTCCCTCACCCTAGTCTCCTTCGCAGCCGTTATTAGGGTCGGCACACGTCACGCAACGCTCGTCCCCACTAAGTTAGTGGGGAGGAGCGTTGCGTGACGAGTGACGACACTAATAACGGCTGCGAAGGAGACTACCCTCACCCCTACCTACTTGCGCTGGCGCTCAATAAATCCCCCGCGGTTCATTTTTTATCACGCGCGCTCGACGGACTTTGATGAGAAAATAGAGGGTCTGTGAACAGGCTATCTGTAACGGAGCGAAGCTGCGCTTGGTGATCTCTAAAGTGGAGAGTCAAATCGGTTAAGTAGTCACACTATACACTATGCCGAATAGCTTTTGTGTCGGCACTAAAAGCTGTCCGGTATACAGTGTGAATATAGTCCAGTTCTGACTCCTCTCTCTGTCACGCAAAGCCGGGAAAGAGAGAGAGTCTCTCTCCCAGCGTTTCGTGACATAGAAAGAGGGAGAGGAGAAATGGAGTCAGTGTGAACATTGGTTTACTGTGACGGTCTCTTGCATTCTGTTTGTCTGAACGAGTTCAAAGCAGTCAGAGGAGATTGTGAAGTTAAAAACATTTAGGTTACTTTGTTGTCCCAAGACCGCGAAATATGGCTTCCGAATCTTGGCAAAATTTATCACATGTAAACATCTGTAACAGGTTAAACAAGTGCAACGAGAAATAAAAAAGACCATCGATTTTACCTGATTATAAAATTTTATTGCACATAGCTGCTCACATCAATCACTGTAATACACTACTAAGCGACACAGCCAAGCCTGACTAAAAATACCTAAAATTGTTTGGCTCTTCAGCATTTTTAAGCCTACCACTAGGTAATCTATACAAAACATATTCTTAGCAAGCGAAAGAAGAAAGCAAAGTAATGATATATAATACAGTCAAAAAAGAGAATGCAGTTTCTTGGTCTGTGGCCGTTGTCATAAGCAAATTCACCACTTGAAAAACGAGAAAAAATCTGGGTCGAGTTAACTTACGTAAAGACATCTGGGACTGCTACAAAATTGGCCAATAGCTGACCGGCACGTCCCCAGTAGCGATCCCACAAACACTTGCGGGACACACCTCTGCTCCAGTTTTCCTCATATTTCTAAGCAGCAAACGATTAACAAATTATTGCTTAATGACAAAAACCGTTGCAGACCAGAGGATTAGAAGTTAAAGCCTTTGTCCCCTCAAAACCAAAAAAGAGGAAAATACAAAGGCTTTACTAGAGAAACAATAATTATCCCGCTTATAATAGTGTAAATTGGTGCAAAGGTTCTGATTGAAAAACAAAGTATTTAACAAAATATACAGATGACTTGATTTTTTTGTACAAAATACCCAGGCTCCCCTCTCCCATCCTCTACCTCAATATGCATTTTGTTGAAAAGGCTCTGGGAACTAGGATTTAAAATAGGAGTGAAGCCTGGGAACTAAATAACTCAGGAAAGGTTTTCTGTTTAACAAAGCCAAAGGTTTAAATCAGAATGTTCCAAAGTCAGTAACCTTGGCTCCTATGCAACAGTTATTTCGTTCACCATAAAGTCTCAGAGTACTGCCTTTTGATGAAAACAACACTTGCTGTGTTGCAAATAAACATAAATAAAACAAATTCAGGGAGAATGCTTTGTTCCTTTTAGAATCAAACTTGAAACATTTAAAAATACATGACTTGTAGACAAAATGGAATAAGAAAAAATGCCAACACAAGGTTCAGACTGCACACACCAGCCACTTCAAATTTTACATCCCTCCCAAAGAGGGAACAGTTAAGTTTTAGAAATTTTTCATCGAAGTTTCTGGACTCTTCAAACTACTAAGAACTATTCAAATGTACATAGAACTGTGAAAGAAGAAAGTAAAAGGATGAACGTTTTCACAAAGGTCTCTCAATCCCAAGACCATTTGGAAAGAGAATTAGAAAGCCTGTTTTATAGAACTTAACGTTATAAACTGGGAATGCTACCGACATTGACAATGAATACAACACAGCTTGCAAATAACAAGATAAAGGTCTTGATCAGAAATCCTGAAATGGCAATACTGCACTGCAAACAATTCTTTCTCTAGTAATTCTTGCTCTATGTAGCACTACAGCTCACTGTTCTGGTCTTCCTCATGGTAATAAAATCAAAAGTTCAAAAAAACCTTTCACAGAAGGTTTACATCTTCAACTTCACAAATCTGTGTCATACCAGGTTCCCCCTCGAGGAGGGGGGTGTGCAAGAGGTTGCAAGGCAGGGTCCCCTTGGTGGAAGTCGTAACCTGGGTCGTGAGAATAATCCATTGGCTGATTGTAGTCAAAGCCATCGTGAGGATAACCATAGCCTATAGGCGGCATATTGTAATTTGGGTCATGGAAGTCTCCATCCATTGGCTGAAGAAAGAAAACAAAAAAAACCTCTCAAGTCTAAGGGATTTCTTTAGCATTCATTGGACAAGAACTATATTCAAAAAGGGTGTACATGACTGTGCTCTAAGAAAAATAGCTCTCTGATAGAGAGGGCACAATTTTTTTAGCTTTTTGTTATGGACATTATTAGGAGAAAGTTGATGTTGGTCACTGTTGGGGCTTAAACAATTAACCCATTGAACCCTAAGATCAAAATTTGAATTCTTATTTGTTGCCTGTATTCATTTCAAACAGAGGTAGGGGGGGGAGAAGTTGATAAAATATCAAGCAAATTTATCTTGTGTGATCATGTCCGTAATTCTCATGACCACTCTGTTTTACAAAGCATTGATATTACAAGGAGAAATTTGATGCTGATCACTCTTAGGGCTAAAAGGATTAATACTGCAACATTCACCACTGACAATACACCCCTTACCTCAGGCCAAGGGGCATCATCTCGGAAGAGAGAACTTGTCAGCTCCACTGACAGCCGTTTTTTGTAATCTTGTGACTTATCTTCAGACATACGGAAAAGCACCGCAGCAGCATAAGCAGCGATACCCTCATTTCTTGAATGAAGCAGATCGGTCAGAGGAGCGGTTGCATTTTCAGCTTCTATGGCTTCAGCGCCTTCTTTGTCCTGGGCTAGTTCACAGAGCACTCCTGCAGCAACACGCTGGATGTTCTCAATGGGACAGTATAGAAGCTGAAAACAGAAAGGATCAATTTGTCGTATTACATTGTTTTTAAAATGTACCCACGCTAACAGAACTCACAGGCCAATTTTAGCATTTCCACCCGGTAAATTTTTAAAGTATAGATAGACAGAAAATGCAGCATGGAAAGAAAGCAGTCTCCGGTTACATGAAGCTTGAGGATTTTGCTATTGGGCTGGTGAATTCTGTTCTTAACTTTCCCAGTGGGCAAGTGAGGTTTTTCGGGAATTCAAATTACAGAAGAATAATACTGTAATCCTGGTTAAACGCTAGTTGAAATGAATTTCGGGCTAGTACATGCTAGTTACAGCCTGCCTGACTTTCTTTGCACCCAGAGAATGCTAGTATATAATATAATAATTTTTTAAATTGATGAATTGAAGATCGCCTAGGTAACAAATCAAAATACAAGTATGCACCAGCATATTTTTGGAACTGAAATTCTCCAAATTCCCTGAAAAATCCTCATTCTTAACTGTCTACAAATTTACAAGTGGTACATCCCTGCCAAAAAATGTATTAACTACCTGAACAAACAATGGAATGCAATGGAGACTTCGTATAACAGCTCTGTTGTGTGCCTCTCGTGCTAAAATATGGAGTGCACCAACACACCCATCAACAATGTCTTCCATTCTGACGCCATCAATCACCACACTCTGCCCAGGTCTTCTCTGCATATCTTGATGAGAACGCATCATAAGTTGAACAAGCTGTGGCAAGCCTCCATGCTCACGGATCGGAGTATGATTGAGAGGGCAAAGGGCAAGATTTCGCATGAGACCAATAACAGCCTTGATGAGCGGCCAACGGGACGGTGGGTAAAGCAGTTTTACAAGGACTGGCAAGCCAAAATGAACCCTAACTGCATTCTGGGCTTTTTCAGAATCCTCATGACGGCTGGTTAGATGGCGCAGCGCACAGACCTGAAAGGAGCATACAGTGTTAGACCACCTCTACTAAAATGTAACTACAATCAGCGACAAAATTAGTTGAGATACTTTGCCCTGAAGGGCCTTTCTGACATTTTACCGACTTCAAAAGAGGAAACCGTAGCTTTCCCCTCCCTGCTTTTGTAACACTATAATTCTTAATTAACCACCAATGATGAAGACAGCAGACATAGCCAACTAACTTACCGCTGGCTCAGTGATCTCCTCTCTGTCTCCAGCCTGCATGCACGTCCTCACCAGGGCTTCAATTCCACCAAACCTGTACACAAGCTGTTTGTTATTGGGGTTATTGCATGTCAGGTTGGACAAGACACCAGCTGCGCATGTCACGACTTGAATATCATTGGACGACAGCAGCTGTACCAACATCTGAAGTAAGTTGTCAAGTCCATCTTCTTTGGTAGCGGCATCTGAAAGGTTGCGAAGTGTCCACAAGCAGTTCTGGACGAGCCTGTTACTCTGGTGCCCAAGATGCATAGCAAGGGCTTGCATACCTCCAGCCTGAGTAAAATATAGGCAACATTAACTTCAACATCACTAAGTATGTACCACATCATTAAGTTACCAATCACAGGAACAACTTTCCTTCAGGGCTGCCATTAGAGAGCTTTAGCACCAACGATGGCTACGGCAGGGAAAAGGTCACTTTAAAAATGAATTCGCGTTTTTTCAAACTTGTCCGCGTTTATTCCAGCTCGCTTGAAATGTCGAGAGTGGGCGAATTTCCCTGGAGTTGATTGCTTGGGGACCGCACCGAAGTTTAGAAAGAGAAAGAAAAATTCTTCCATAACGTGAAATTATGCATTTTCACATTGCAGTCGTGCCGAGAAGGCAAAGAAATGTACAAAAAAGTGTGATGCACGTGCAAATGTATTGTTTTGCTTCACAAACATATTGCTTTTTTGAAGTTCTTGCTGCTGTTGCCGTCACCGTTGCTAAAGCTCCCTATTAAGGGTTGGGGATTTTTCCCGCCTATTATGAATGTGACCATCATTACTTTTGAAGGAAAAGAGTAGAAAAACAGAACCAAACAAAATCCCCAACTGTTGGATTCCCCGCCTGAGTTTGTATCATTAGCCCGGCAACTTAAAATTTTAATGAGAGCCCTGTTACTTGTGTTACTTTCCAAAGCTGTCACAACTCATTATGAAGTTGGTTGCATCCACAGATCACATAAATTCAACCAGTCAGTTTTTGTGCTCAGGGTGTGCATTCTTAATTTCTTCTTCCGTCACCCTGAATAAATAGTTAGTAACATGAGGGTAAAAACAAGAGATAAACATGTTCCTGGAACTGTGCAAAAGCGTTCTTTCCAGATTGAATAAAAAACCTTGAAAATATTATTGCAGCAAGTAAATAAAACAAAAAACAAAGCTGAAAAAAACTACTATTAATTACCTCTACAATAGCTTGCTTGTTGTCAGTATCCACAGACAGAACTTTAAGCACACGACTGGTTGTGAAGAGGAGTTTCTCGTAGGTATAACTTCTCATGATGCGCACAAGCTCAGCTGGACCTCCAGATGCCAGGATAATCAGTTTACTTTCCTTGTTACCATAAGCCAGCACATGGAGACAGTCTGCATTTAACAAAAGACACATTTCACTTTATAAGGATAGTTATTTGTCTACCACAAAGAGTTTACCTTTTTCCAAGTTGAAACTATGAAAGGACACTAGGTTGCAGCGCTTGTTTAAGTGGAAAGCAAGCCTGTGCTCAACAAAAAATTCAAGAGAGCCCAGGAGCTCTAACCTATGAATTTAAGCTTACCGGCGGAAATTGCAGGAAGTAATCATTCTAGTCTAATTTTCAACTGAAAATGCAGTGAGGCTGACAAAACGAATTAAAAAAGAAAAAAACACTTCTATGATAACACAACCTCAAGGTCTTGTACCTGTTACAATAGCCAGGAACTTGACATTTGTGCGTCCAAGCAATGCCACCATTTTCTGAAGACCTCCTGCTAGTCTGACGGCCATCTTGGCTCCTTCTTGATGAAGTAGCAGATTATGTAATGTGGTGATAGCATAAAAAACAACTGCTTCAACAGGCGACTCAAGCATTCTCACAAGAGCAGGGATGCCACCAGACTTGAAGATAGATAACAAACCTTGCCTGTAAATAAAAGACAAAGTTTTTAAATTAATAACTGAATTTACTGTGACAGTACTGTTTAAATGTGCGATACTTCATTACACAAGACTTTACTACTTCACTGATTTTCACAAAAAAAAAGCTTTTAGGACACCTTCCAAAGTCACAACAATTGTCACCGTCACAAAACTCATCAGCGCCACAACATATAAAGAGTTGATATACCTGTGATGAGAAAGGTTGTGCAATGTACCAGCTGCGCATCGAGTGGTCTCGGGATCAGAGGAGTTGTTAAGAGCTTTTACAAGAGTAGCGACCATCTGCGGTGAGTTCATGATGGCATGACGACTGGCATCTTTCTTGGACAGCTGATGAACCATCATGGCAGCTTGTCCAACAACAACCTAAAACACAGATATTTGTGAAAAAATAAAATCTTCTTGACAAAAAAAATTTAATATTAAGACTTATGTATTGTCTTTTAATTTTTATGAACTCATAATGCACATAATATTTGTGCATTATCACCCTTTAATATTATATTATAATATTAAAGGGTGACCCTTTTTTGATACATTTTGTTTGTTTTTGTCATGCTCTAAAACACGGCAAAATGACAGTCCTTAATTCTCTATATTGGATTGTAAGGGTTTGTTCTGTTTATAAAAATCATGTTATCACTGATAAAAGTGGCCCACCATCAAAAAGCTGAAAAGATTATATTCATTTGCTTGCACGCAAGTGAAAATTAAACAAAATTCTTATCAAGTGATTCATAATATCTCGATTCCCAACTCTGTTACTATGGCCTATAAGACCTATAAACCATGGAAAATTGTCGCCTATTTGTCTAATGGAGGGTACAGTTGATTTAAAAACTACAGCTGAACCTATTTCCAATGCTGACTTTACAACATGCTGTTTGCGGTGCCTTGAACAAAATGTCGTCACATCACTGAGTTACTTACCTGGTCTTCATCATTCAACAGCTTGGTCAGTTCGGGAATGGCGCGGGTGGCAAGATCAGCATCATCCTACAAGGTATAAAAAGAAACTGCTTAGCTTAAATTTGTCTGAGATCTTTGTCTTGTCTTGGAGAGAAAAATAATTTAAACATTTCCACAATTGACCACTCCAGAAAATACCATAACATACCATAATGCTCTTTCTTTGTCACCCCAAAATTTTGCATAAGCATTGTTTTCAGTTTCTCTTGAGGCCATTTTAACTCCCAAGAGAAACTGAAGACAATGCTTATGCAAATTTTGGGGTGACAAACAAATAGCATTATGGTATGTTATAGTATTTCTGGAGTGGTCAATGTTGAATAAGCCACGTCAAAATTTTCAGTATTGCTTCGGAAACCTGAAAACACATTAGAAGAAAACCTCAACTGGTGATTCAGTTTATTCGTGTTTATTCTACTAGTAAACTAGAAACTCAATAACCAAACTCAGTACTCGATTTCCTCACTAGCTCAAACTAAATTTCCTTTCCCTTTATCAAATTTTCACTGAAATTTACCCTGATAACTTGAATTCCCCGCTAACTCAAACTGTTTTTTGTTTCCCTACGGAGTTCAACTGTGTAACCAGACTATATTGACATATGTTTCCAGTTCTCAATGGCTAGTATGGAAAATGATGCAGCTTGGTTAATAACTCTTATAGTGCCAAAATATAAACAAAACCAAACGTACTTTGTTTTTCTTTCTTTCAGAGTTCCAAGAATGAAAAAAGATGACAAAGAGTTTTAATCTGAGCTCAGCTTTGACCACAAAGGTGAGGCTAGGTCATTATGACATAACCCCTCAGTCATGAAGTTAATAATACAATGTACCTGATAATTGATGAGGTTTACAACAGCTTGCTTTAACATTAGCGATGGCTCTGCAAGTCGCTGTACAGCAGTCGAAGAAGCAGAGTCAAACTGTGTGGATGGAATATGTGCTCCTTCTTCAAGAGTCTCGGGAAACATAGCTTGTCGGATACGCTGGCTGTTTCCAAAAACAAAAAAACAAAGGATGTAAATATATGGAAAATGAACAGTCTGAATGCAATGAAAAACATACGTCTTTGAATTGAAGGGATGTAATATTATATATCAAGACAAACTTTAAGTTGCTTACAAAAGTACAGTAGGTTTAACAGCCCAGAAACTATTTGCAGAAACAATATTTTTGACCAGGCAAAAAAAGTCAGACCCCACTAAAATACTTTTCATGAGACGCAAGTTGCACATACCTTCTTGTGGAAACAAACTGCTCATTCATAGCATGCATATCCTGATCCGAAAAGCCTTGCTCCCACTCAAATGTCATTTGTGTGGTCTTCATGTAGTCGTCATCATCATCACCTTTGATTGAGTGCGTGGTGGTAGTTGCACCGGACATGATACCGGAATCATGATGGTGGTATTGTTGATGCCACATTGCCGTCTGTGCTTCTTTGCTCATTTCACCATGAGGTATGCCGCCAAGTCTGCTCGTCTCCATGGTGAAAACTGCAACAAATAAATTTCTCCAAATGAAACTTTCTGATTACTTTATAATGGCTGTTAAATAACCCTATTCTTACAATGGCCCTCTCTCTGAGGGTAGGAAAGATGAAGGAAATTCAGAATTTTGAGTGGCTACCTGCATGAAAGGGAACGATGGACCTTTGAGATTGGCTGCTTTATAGGTCCTGCTAATAATTTAGGCCATATAATAACTTTCTTTATTGAGGCTCATTGGTAGAGACAAAATGACAAGATGTCGTTTTTTTATAAACTAAGACAAGGTTACGATCCATAACAAGGCAAAAAAAGGACTGAGCTAATCACCGTTTTTAGACCAAGGACGCATTATCCATCTGGACGAACCTTGGCAAACATTAATTTTGTAGTTTATCTGGTTACACGTCTTAAGTATAAGGACGCCCACACAACACATTGAGCATGTGGACCACCTTTCCTTCGAAATATGTCTTGAACAATGCACTACGACAGGTAGTTCGTCTGGATGCATAATGTTTCTTGTGCCCATCTTTATATATACTAGACACACATAACAAGATGAACTGCAAAATGTTTGCCCAAGTTCGTCCAGATGGATCACCCATCCTTACAGTATAAAAACAGCCAATATCAAGTTATCTTTTGAACTCACATTTCAGAGATTGACAAGACATTCACCTTAAAGAGGATGTTGTAAGAGTGAAATATATTTCAACCACAAACAAGTTTTCCACTAACTTGTAATAAATTCAAGGTGGCAAACTCATGCCATTAGTGGTTACTTAATAACACAGCTAGTAATATTATATGACAATATACTCATGAACAAAATACGTAAGGTGGAACCCACTCTTCCCTAACTCCTTGGTATAACAAAAGATAATAATTCCTCTCCCCAGTAATAGTAAAATATATGGAAAAGAACCTTTATATAATGAAGCTACATAGTAGTGAACATATTGTGCCAGACCCTAGGCCCTTCATTATATCAAGGTTCCCAATAGTTAACAGACATGTAAACCAAGGCTATGCACTAGAACACTAATGCTGATCTGTCATAGCTGGTTCAGAAGAATGATCAATTTGAGCAATTTTCGAGTAGCTGGCCATGCATGTACGTATTAGCATCTCTCTCAACATCTTGTGAAACAAAGCACACGAAAACAAATGGACCCATTCTCACTCAAGGATATGGCAAAAGGTGATCATGAATGAGTATTTGAAAATCAAACACTAAACAAATAAGCCATCATTACTTGTACCTTGCAAAACCTAAACATCTTAGAAATATTGGGTGATTCAGACAAGGCATATTTCTGATAACTAAGAGTAAAATCTGACACCTAATATCATGGGCGGCTTTAAAAGGCAAAAGCTGGCACTTGTACCATAAAAACTTAAAAGTTCATCCGAGCCAAAAATAAAGGCAGACAAAAACAAGATTTTGACATCAGATCAAGTTTCCTAGACCCCAAAATTTTTGGTGTATCGCTCACCACTCTCTAATATCTCCCAACTGATTATGTAACGAAGGAAACAGCACTCACCTGCGGTAAACCCTTTCAGCCCCATGTTTCGTTTATTCTCTTAACCTTGTCTTTTGATCATGTATGAATATTTTTGGGAGAACATAAATGTTAGATATCGAGGGGTAAACTTGGACCTCTCATGAGCCAACTCAAAACTAAGTTCAGTTTGTACAAATCTTCATACTAACCTGAAAATAACTTGCTGAAGTATGCACTTCTTTAATTTTTGAGGTAGCACAAATCGTTTTGTATCTTTCTGGTTGTACATGGGTTGAAGAATAATGTGTTTTGGGGAATATTTGTTATGAATGTTACAATGATCTTGCGTCTGAGCGTGGGTTTCGGGAATTTTAAGAGGACACTAGAAACAAAATACTGACTATGACCAATACAAGTTAGATGAACTTGACCCAAAGTATTGCTTGCCTAACAAGTCTACCTACGTATTTGCATATGCCAGAAAAGACGACTAATGCAAAAGGAATTTTGTATAGATTGGTCTTATGATTTGAGACTGTAACATTCATGTTGCCCTTTTACAAAAGTCCCTAGCCACAACCAAAAACCGGTTATGAATCATGTGGTTTATACAAAAAAATCTGTCTAATGGAACCAACAAATGAACCATAAAAAGAGACCCAACTCTAATTAGCAAACCACGCTCGGATGCTTCGTGTATTTAAAGCATGTCATGAAGAAATTTCCTACCCTTTCACCGCCGATCGGAATAACCGTAAATTTCTAGCGATTTTCTTTTTTTCACACGCTAAAAAAAAAGGGACAGACAGCTTAGAATTACGCATACGATCAATACTACGGGATTGAATAATTGAATAAAAGGGCAGACAGTTTCCGAGTGTTTTGTCCATTCTTTGTGACGATACGTGACTGCGGACGGAAAAATAGTTCCGAAGCTTATCAATGCACTCTTTGTCAGGAAGGTAAACATTCATCCCTGTCGCGGACTTAAATGAAATTCTCTTCCACCCAAAAAAAGCGTGACGAATATATACATTTCCTTCAATTTTCTTTAAGACGATTAACTCAGCAGTTTCTACGTAACTTAACAACTGCTTACCTGCATCTTCTACATTCTCGAACCTTAACACTAAAATAACACGGGCCATTTAACATTACTGTAAAAGAGTCCTAGGCCACAAGATGTTCGTTTATGGCGATTGTTACTTCACTTTGTATATTAGTTATACATAATACATATAATTCTTAGTTTACATTATTTCCTTACCAACTTTTACTTCTTTAATTTGGCATCTGCCAGCTGGAAATCAAAAATCTGCAAAGGAAAGTTTAGGTTCTCGTAACTGTTCTTGCATGCACACTAAAACATACTCAACTAAAGAAAGGAGAAAATATTGTTTGTGACTTTGCCGCCTCAACTTTCCAATTGATACGTAAATCGTCCTTGACATGAAAAAACTTTTTCCTTGACATATCGGAAATAGCAAGGAAAAGATCTGAAGGTTGTCACCATCGCGACGTAAAGAAGTTTGCTTCGAGGAGTAAGGCCAGGGCCATATCAGTATCATGCGAACAAGTGATTGATCGATGATTCGAAAAAGTACATTTCAAGCGAAGTTTAACTTCACTAAAATTTCCAGCGCAAGAAAAAATCGCTGGACAGTAAAAGGCTTTTTTATAAAGGTGCATGTGGTACAAATTATAGAATAAATCTCCTATTATCACTGCCTCCACACAGCAAGTAATCGTCGTCTTCGTGTTAAAAACATGACTGCTGCGTTTGACAAAAAAGGAACACTACATTTGGAATGAAACTAGACCCGCTAAATTACATCAGTGTTAATAAACTGTAGCAGTTGCAGAAATCGGCGAAGGGTATATGGAATTATCGGCTTTTCAGCGACATAAATAACTATGTTAGCGCCGTATTGTAATACAACGAAGGGAAATCAGCAGCGGTGAGATACACTTAAGCTTTATATACCTCAACGCGCCGAGATCAATTCACCGAAAAAATAAATCAAAGAAAAGCGACGCTCGATCATTTCGAAGTATTAGGCACAAACGGCTATTTATGGAGCAGAGAAAACTCACAAATCATGCCTTTGCCGACCAGATAAACGCTTCAAACACGCGGGATCCTGAACTACCGAATTCAAGGAGACAACTTTCGGCGAAAAGAGCTCCATTGTTCAGACAAAAATACATTACGTTCCGAAAACGACCATTTCTAATCGAAATATATCATCACAAAGACCCCCACAAAGGAACAAAGCTAAACTTCAACCTAGTTTCATCTATCCGACAGGTACTTTCACTCGCCAAAAGGCCGAACAACACTCAAATCTTTTAGCTGGTAAACAAGCGTTTACAACAATAAACTCCTTTCAATATTAGACATGGCGCGTTTCTGGAGAGCAACAAACAGGTCTGGAAATCCAATTCCAACCGTTTGCTGGTTAAATTTAGACGAAAACCATACCTGTGGAACTAGCCTGTATTCACCGTCCCTATTTTCGGTTGCAGAAGTCGTTTGAAGGTGAAATGTTCACTACCAGAAGGAATCCTAAACAGTCGCGAGGGTTTGGCAGAGAACCGAGCTAAGCGTGGGGACGATTCGTCGACTTAATTACCTGTCAATCATTCGCACACAAATATGCATCTTTTAATCAGCAAAATGGATTTTCATCAGATTACCCCCGAATTTACCGTCGTTTAGGAGCAAAAATAGATCTTTTAAAGCCACAAATATGTAACCTTTCGCATAAATACTTAATAATCAGGATCTAAGCGTTATTCTGAACTCCAAAAAGAAGAGCTTGTTGCCGAAACTCGGTAAATTGTTCTTCGTATGCGCTTAGTAATGCGAGAAGAATTTGACAGGCATGCTGTTAATACTCTCAAGAGATTTGACAGGACTCCTCCCAAATACTTTAACAATTCTCAACAAAACAAAAGGAACAGAATTTAGCGCTTTTTTTGTCTGTTGGATGCGCCAGCTACAATAAATCAAACTATTGTTTTCTTCATCAATTTATTTCCACAATTAATAAAAGAAGTGATTTGTATCGCTGGGAATTTCAAAATTATTTTTCTTTCTACCCGCGTGAGAAATTAACAACTATTCTTACGGGGTAGGGCACAGGTATATATTGTCCGTCTCATGACTACAGCTAGTTTGTATTTGTTAGAACTGGGCGTTAGGACGTAAACAATATATTTGGGCTGAGAATTTCGCCTTATTATTGGTATACTCTTGGAAAAAAAAAACTACTCATCCACCCCAAAAAGGACCAAACAAATAAATGGAAACGAAAGAATGGAAAACGGAACTCGCGCTCACGTCGAATAGGCGGGATGGGTTCATCCCCCGCGCACGCGAATCGTCCTACGCAGTATTTTCCTAGGGAATTCGTGCCTCGGGTAAATTATCAGCAAAATGTCTAACACTGTTGTGTATCTTATGTTGTTTCAGAAAAAATTAACAGGTTAATGAACGATCTTTTTGGGATACAATTTTGTTCCTTATATCTAGCCGATATTTTTAGGCACTAACGAAATTTGCAGTCATTTGAGCGAAAAGGCATCAAAAGGCAGGTTCCTTACGCCCGAGAAGCTCCAAAATCACAGTAACGAAAAAAAAGGAAAGGAGGAAAAGAAAGAGCGAGGAGAGGAGAAAAAAGCAATGGTTGCACTCTTAGTTTTTATAACATAGCTACTTTGGAGTTAATCATGTTTTGGCCGAAAAAAAAAACTGTTTGACGCAAAAGGTCCATTTGGCGATTTCGTCATCAAAAATCCGGCTAGACATATTTTAGCATTTTCTTTGAGGGTAATATTCGCCAAGGTCGTGTCATATTCAGCAACCATTAATCATCGATCATTGAGGTATACCGTTCGCCTGGCGTTTGGGTAATCTTTCCTAACCTGTTGATATTCATAACTCGCGTGCGATTCATGTGTTAAATTCGTGTCCAAAAAAGGACGACTTGACTGACCGAACTGATATAGCGCACGAAAAAGTTTTTATAGTTTGCCTTTCTTTCTTTTTCGCTTTCTTTTTGCCAATTGTAGCGGCCTAATATTATGACTGGATCAGTTACTTGCGTAGTTTCTTTTGTGAATTTGCTCATAGCCTGCGTGGCTTTTTCCCTTCCTCCCTCTCCCCTACCCCCTACCCCTTTCGACGCCTGCTACGCAGGCTAATTTGCTCAGAGAATGGTCGATTTTGAAATGCCAGATTGTAAACGAAAGTTCAGCCTTAACTTTTTGGCAGTACAGTCGACTCTCTCTTAACGGACACCTCCATAAGACGGACACCTCTGTAAGACGGACACCTCTGTAAAACGGACACCTCGAGTTGGTCCCTGCCTTTCTTTACTCCCTTTTAATTGACTCTCTATAAGACGGACATCTCTCTAAGACGGACACTTAGTACCGGCCCCAAAGATGTCCGACTTAGCGAGAGTTGACTGTACGTATTTTTCAGCGATTTTTGTCGGGTCAGTCATATGTGGCAAGTCAAAAGCGTGATGTGATCATGATGATGAAGATGACAACAACGACGAGCTTTATTTGCATGACCATACAAACACATACAGTATTGCAAAAGCTATGTTTAGGAATCAAAATTACAACACAGGGCAATTACGTTACTTTGATAATAATTTGTCACGAACATCAAAACAGGCTGAAATATATTTTATGAATTGTATATTGATAAAGTAATTAGTAGAGTTCCTCAGTTCATTGATCAAACCGTTTATAGGTAACTGGGTAATATTTGGAATCAGAGTCTTGGCTTTATATTAAAATTCATTCCTAATCATAGGGTATATGTAGAACATTGAAAAAGAAAGTGAAAGTGATGATGATAATAATGATGATGATGATGAAAGGGACAGAGACCACAGCTATGGACTTAGATCCACTCCTAAGCAAATCTCAAGGCTTCCTCACTGAGTTAGTTTCACCCTTGTCTAGCGAACAAATTAAAATGCCGGCGGCTTCGGAAAGCGAAATTACTTACGAATGACTCTTGTTTCCCTCTCACAAAATGAAGGGTTCAGTGTTCAAAGATTGGAGTTGCGTCTGTGAGGGACGTGAAATACAAGTTTTGTTTAACAACACGGACTCTACTAAATTCCCAGTAAACTAAGCAATATGTAGGTGCGTGTGTCAACTTTTGATGCATCTCTCAAAATTCCTGAAGTGTTTTCGCGGCCCAGAAAGTGCTTTTCCTTACGCATTTTCCAAACGATTAAACGTTCTTTGGGGGTCATTTAATGTTCGTGCAAAGTAGGCCAACATGCTTCTCGAGTCTTGTAAAATTTTCGATTTTTTTCCATTTGAAATTTATTAAAAATCACATTTCTGCTAAATGATTTTTGTGCACTTAAAATAGCCAGTTTCGGGACCGAATTGTTTTCGGGAGTTTTGAAAAAGCACACTTGCAAGACTCAGTAGTACAGGATTGGAACTTGAAAAAACGTTCAACTCTTGCATCGTTGAAAAAATCACAGCCACGGCAAAAACCCAAGATTAGCTTCAGAGTTCATCTTCTATCGCCTGACCGGACGGAAAAACAGATACAGTAGATCTACTTGAGTTATAAATAACTGCTACACTTAAACACGTGTTACGACACAATTCATGTTTCCGTCGAACCGTGAAAAACTGTTATGGAGTCTTGTTACATAATGTCCGTAATTTGGACACAGTACACGAAATGAATTCTCAATTATTAAGGCTTAATGATTTAACTTAAAAATGAGTTTCAGTACTAAATTGAATGGAACGGCGCTAAAGTTTCGGCCTGAAAATAAAAACTGCGATTCTTCTCGTAAATCATCCGACACGCACGGCTAATTCGGAAACTAATTATTAACACCCCTCGTGGTGGGAAATATATTTTTTGTCAATGGGTGAAACCACAAGGTATTACGTTATATAACTTCCTAAACGCAGTGAGATAACAGCTTTACGCCTTAAGACAGAGCCCCTTTACTTAGTGTGCATTCAACAAGTGAGATACAGTTTTTGCCTGCGTACGGACGTCTACTATTTCCTTTGATGCAAGCGGAAAAGACTTCCCTTTTCCGCGTGCAACAAAGGAAATCAGGAGACGTTTGCACGCAGGCAATACAGTTTGAGCTGGATGTCCTGGATGTCCTACTACTTTAATAAATGCCTTCTTGAAGCTCCGAAGGATTTCAGTCCTGATGTCCCTGTGGGTCGAGCTACGAAAGCTGACAGAGTGCGCGAAATATTGAACGAATCAAAGTGATAAAATCTGGATAAGTTGAACCTTGAAGTTCCAGAGGTGATCAGCATCAATTTTCTCCTAACAAAGTCAATGGATAATCAAGCTAAAAAATTACGAGAATTAATAAATTGATATTGGAACATACTAGAGAATTTGTATGTGCACTGTGCCTGATTGGTAACTCTGGCTATTTATATGCGCTAGCCTGTTCTAAGCGTTCATTACACTGAGTAGCGCGAACGACCGGAAGAGGCTATTTATTGGCAAACCTTTAATCCGAGGTGAAATCGCGTGTTATAGAACTGTAGTAGAGATGCCATCAAGAGAACAACCTAATATATAATTAGCTTGTGGTCGATAACGGGGTCGCAAATCAATATTTCGACTTCCTCGGAGCAAATGGATGCGGTCGAACGTTTATCTCTTCCCAAAAAGCACTTCACCCAATATAAAACCACAACTGATCTCATCATTACTCAGCGTCGCTTGATCCCGGGTCTGCAATGTGAAAACACTAGCTCGAATCCTCCGGTGGGGTTGGGGGGGGGGAGCACCCCAAGGGGGCGCAAAGGGGGGGGTGCTGCCCCCGAAAGGACAATTTTTTAGCCCCTCTGCCTCTGGA